AGGTGCACCTCCTGGGCAGTCGTAGCCTTATACATGTATGGCTTGGGGAGCTCCATGTGGCTGGATTTCAGGCCCCCTGGCCCTTGGCCAGGCAATTTTGTATGGTAACCTAGACAGCAGCCCTCCCCAAACACATCACCCACCTGAGCTCCTGAATGCGGAACCCATTGCCCCTAGCTAGTGGGATCAGCCTCAGCTCCCCAGCAAGTATAAGTGTATTTGCAGCTGCAGATCCTGGTCAGGCCCCACCGGGCTCAGGAAGGTCTGATGAGGATCTGCCCCACCCCCCATTTGCAGCTCTGAAGCACTGGGATGCTCACCATCGGCTTGGGAAGCAAGTGTGAAACCCTACCCCCAAGCCCTCCCCTACCTTCCTGAGAGTTACCCTCCTGCAGGGGGAAACTGCCCTTGAGGGGTAGAAGGTAGGTGGCACACCAGATTCTGACCTCACTTTAAGACTCAACTTCCCCTCTAGCTCTCTCACTAATCCCTGCTGCCACCACCATGATGGCCTTTGGGGGCCTCGCTCCTCACTGCCCAGACTCCACCGGGCTTTGGTGGGCTCCAGGTCAAGCGTGCACACCCAGCCATCCCCCAAGACTGACAGACAGCACAGTGGACAGCAGGCTGCAGAGCTCAGATCAGGCCTTCGGAAAGGTTTTTGAGGAACAACACAGAACACAACTGGACCACTGGAAGGGCAAAGAAGGTGTCCTCGGCTCAAGCTTAGGTCCAGGGTTCACTTTAACTCGAGGGATCATCCTTTGTGTCACTTAGATGCCATGAAGTCTCAAATTAAAGAAGCAATGTCAGGGAAAAGCAGGAGTATCCTATTGCCCCCAAGCCCCACCTTTGAGTTTCCAATTTTGGAGGATCTCTACTTCTCCAAGTGATTGAAACTGGAATGGCCATCAATTAATCCAACAAATACAAGGCGGGGTAAAAGTAGGTTTACAGTTATTTGTAATGGGTACCATGCAGCCCTACCCTTTTGCTCCCTGAACCTCACATTTAACTGTCGAGCCCACGGGCTTCAGCAACCTCTAGCTTGGCAACTAACTGTCACACACAGCTCATGCTCTGGGTTGATCCTCACTCTCCCCTTAGCAGGTATAAAAAGCCCCTCTTCACAGAGCTGAGTCTCATGTCCTCTTTGTCCACTGCCTACCAGTCCTTGGCTGAGCCCAGGAGTCTTGCAAACCTGCCCTACAGATGGAAGGGCATCCTGTGCCCACAGGCCCAGGTCTGCATGCAAGCTGTGGAGTCACCTTTAATCTCTATGAGATTTGGCAAGAATATCAGTAGGAATCTCAGGCAATTACCACACCATGAGAAACCCATGAGTTTCTGACTAGGAAGATACAGCTGACTGGCAGGCTAGAGAACCAAGTTAGACACCTATTTGGGTATGGAAACTTGGTCCCACATGGACACTAGAAGTCTATGCTCTACCTGTCCCATGGACTAGCAAGAGCCTGAGTCATCCGTGAGGTGCTGGAGGGAGAGGTAGGTATGGCGACACAGTGCCTCTCAGAGAACAGCCCGTGGACCTGCACAGAGGCGTTACTTGCAAGCCTGTTAGAAATGCAAATTCTCAGGCCCCACCCAGACCTACTGATGTGGATCCTTGGGGAGGGAAGCAGGAACCTATTTGTTTTAACCTCTCCAGGTGATGCATATTGACACATAAGCTTGAAACGCACTGCTAACACACTGCCCTTGTGACAGGCCGATGTGATTACTACAGGGAAAATTTTAACAATTATGGCAGCTCCTGTTTTTGAATTCTGTTTTGTGCCAGGCACTTTTACCTAAGGTTAAATACGTTATCTCATAAGATGTTCACAACAGCCCCATGAGATACTTTTATTGTCCTAGTTTTTACAGATGAAGTAGTTATAAATAAGGTACCTGCCCACGTTATTTAACCTTTCCAAGGTTCAGTTTCCTTGTCTGTAGGTTGGAGACAATAATGTCTTGCTTCCCTGGTGGTTGTGAGGCATGGAGACCAACCACATGGCATGATGAGGTCAGCCCCGGCCACTGGGCGTAGCTCCAGGAATGGGTCCCCAGCGGGGAAAGGCAGCGGCAGCACTGCTATCTCCAACCTGTGGCTCATTAAGAGACCGGCCAGCACCTACAGGCCCTGGCCTTCTCACCGAGCACTAAGTCAGCTTCACATACTGTCACATTCTGTTTACCCCTCAAGAGGATCCGTGCTCTCACTCCTGATTCTATTCCTAGTTGATGACAACAAAATCTACATTTAGGATAACTCTGGGTCTCAAAGGTGATGCTCTGAAGGTTGGGGTACTGGAAAGTAATCTCCAGCTAGATCTGGGCTTCCAAGAAAGAGAAACTATCTCTCTTGGATGAAATAGAAGGGGAAGATCTTTGCTTTGAGAGGCCGCCCAGTACCACTGAGAGACATGTCACTACAGAGATTATCACCAGCCTCTCCCCAGCTGCTGAATGCCCACCACGTGTCAGGGACTTAAGAGGCACTAACTCTGCCTCAAGTCAGTCTGCAAGGTACCACCCCCCAGTTCTGACTCTTGGTTGACATATGGCAAAAATCTTGGTTTGGAATCAGATCTAACTTGATCACTTACAGGTAGGTGTGTGACATTGGGAACATGTCATGTGAGCTTGTTGAGTCTCAACTTTCCTATCTCTAAAATGAGTTGTTGAATTAAATAAAAGTATATATAACTCAAAACACATAGTAGGTAACTTAAAATGTTACTCCCCTTGATCCCTTCTTTCTTATATTGTGCTATGCATGGCTTAATGGGGGACATAGAACAGAGATGACTATGAGCAAGTCCCTTCCTATGTGGGGCTGATTTCCCTCTTTTATACCCAGGCTGGGTCATTCCTCATAGTAAGGAAGCAAAAGGTCTGGGGCAGAGTCAGAGGCTGAGCAAAAAGGCCTGCAGTTCGCTAAGGCTGTGATGGAGGTGAGGCAAGGTGGCTGTCCAGACTTGGTGTGCCCTCCCCAGTGGGCCCTGCCTTCCTCCTCCATCCATCACCCTCATTCTCAGCATTCAACTGTCACACATTGCCAGTACGGATGGATACTGAATGGAGATCAGTGGGTGAAAGGTAATTTACCTGCTGTTTGCACTGAACTGTTTCCTAACCCCTTTTGAGGACTCACTAGTTTATCAGATCCACCCCACTCCCTGGCAAGTGGCAAGGCAAAGATTACACTCCTGCTATCGCTGAACAAGTGGGTTCTCAGAGAGGGCTGGTGACTGGCACAAAGTCCCCCAGCACATCAGTGGCAAGCTCTCAGATGAGGACCCTGGACTCCTGACTCTTCCAAGTCCAGTCCTTTCTCCATTTTATCCCAATGTCTCTCCTGTCAGTGTACCCTCTAATACTGATCAACTTTATTGATCAACTTTAGTAGACTGAATTAAAAATTAATTTCTGATGGTTGTAGTGTTGTTCCACATTGCAACTAAGAGATTGTAGTATTAATCAGATTTTCTGTAAAAATGTGTATCTTTTGGTTTCAAGCTATATACATTCAACCCAAACCAGCTTAAGAAATAAAAATTTAACAATGATTGGTGTTAATAGGTTCCCGTAACAGGGAACCCCAGTGGCTAGCGATAGGGCTGTTGCTGCCGGCTCTGTGCTTCAGGCCTCTGTGGGCACGCACAGGCCTTGGCCGAGGGGGGCTGCGGAGGGACGTGGCTGTCTTTGGTTCCAGGCCTCCAGCCTCTCAGTTTAACGCTCTAGTGGAAAGAGAGCTTGTCTGAAATGGTGTTGTTTTTCCTTTGGATCTGCTACTGCTAAATCCCTGTAAGGGCGAAGCAGAAAACCTGGTAGTCACTAAAACTCCAAAGGGGTTTAAAAGTTAGAGGTCCCAAAAAGTGCGATGATGATGAATAGTTAAATCCATGGCATCAACTTTTTTGTACTCCATTTTGGCAACAGGCTGTGTTTTATAATCATTGGTTTTATCTACTATGTAGAATGTTTGAACTGTTCAAAAAAAGCTACACTAAATTTATAACTGGTATATATGTTTAAGGCAGTTTAATCAAATATTATTGTTTAAATATCTATGCACTAAAATTCACATGTAATGCATATTCCCCTCAAACCCAGTCCCTCAGACATTAAGCAATCTAACACTCGAAAATAAAATAGATCATTGGATTTTTTAATTATATAATTATTGTAAAACTATTTTTAGAGGTAAATTAGTTCTCTAAACTTCATTTGTTCTTTCATCATTATATGATTCAGTGTTATGACAAATTTCCATTTGAAACTTTTTAAGTCAACTTGTTAAAAAAAAAAAAAAAAAAAGCAAACTGACCTACCAGAACTGGAGAGTCAAGTGGAGACATTTGGTGGAACCAATAGTGCCTTAAGCATCTCAAGGGAACAAGGAGAAAAGTCAAGCAATCTCCCCACTTCATTGACATAAATATTTGTGGTTGCTCCTACTGCAACATAAGAGTAATCTCAAGGCATTCCAAAAAAAGAACCAAGACATGCAGTGACAAGCACTGGGGCAGGGGGCAGAGGGGGACTCTGCATCCCCATGCCTCCGCTCCACAGCTGTGTGATGTGCAATCGAACCTGTTTCCCTCAACAGGTAACTATGCTCAAGTAACAATGTGTAAAAGTGCAAAGGATTCTTTTTTAAAATTGTTGTTCAAGTCAAGTTTTCTGCCTTTTAACCCCCATCCCAGCCCACCCTCCCCGCTCCCTCCTGTTTCCACTCCCCAACCCTTGTTATTGTCCATGTGTCCTTTATACTTGTTCCTGCAAACCCTTCCCCTTTTCTCCTGAAATTCCCTCCCCTCTGGTCACTGTCAGCCTGTTCTCAATTTCAGTGTCTTTGGTTATATTTTGCTTGTTTTGTTGACTAGGTTCCTGTTAAAGGTGAGATCATATGGTATTTGTCTTTCACCGCCTGGCTTATTTCGCTTAGCATAATGCTTTCCAGTTCCATCCATGCTGTTCTCAAATGGTAGGAGCTCCTTCCTTCTTTCTGCAAAGGATTATTAATGTTTTCTGAAAGTAAAAGTTCTTATGAAAAGCAAAAAGCTGCCTCAAATCTAGAAGAAGTTGGGTACAAACTAGATAGAAGTATTGTGATGACTATGAACTCAGTTTCCTTTACAACAAAACCAGTCGTCACCAGAATTTATGCTCTTTATTCACTTCCTTGTTTCAGAGTCATGGCAGGTTTTAGTCTTTACAGGTAAAGACAGTGTTTGTGGCACCTGGTGTCACAGAACCAAGCCATGCACAGAACATGCTGAGTAAGCACCAGCATCTCCCCCAGAGTCCTGGAGGAGGGGCAGTTACAGAAAATCCAATTAGACAGGGGGAATTCCAGTGAACTGAGAACCCCAAATCAAAGCTTCGCTTTGGGCTTGGGCTGTGATCCCGGGCGTACCCTGGCAGGACCAAACTCAAGCCAGAGAAAAGCTCACTCCCAGGAAACACGGCACCTGACCTGGAAGCAGGTCAGCACAGAGAAGACTCAAGGTGAGCGTGCAGCAGGTTCAGAGTGCTATGAACCCACAGACGGTGCCGTGTGCTCCTCCCCAAGAGGGAACTCGCCCTGGCATTCTCAATTAGCTCCAGAAGGCCAAGGGTCTCCTTAAGTCAGCATAACTTCACTGCTCTGTCCTGAGCCAGGCCCTGCACTGGGTGCAGAGGACAAAGGGAGGACTCGGAGTCCTTGTCTTCAGGGAATTCAAAGTAGGATAGAAAAAGCATTTATTTGTAAAGTCATTGTGATCTGATGTGAAAGGATACATGAGGAGTCGGACTTGGCCCTCACACAGTTCACTGCCCAGCAGAGGCCTAGAGGGCACAGCACACAGGCGACAGTGACACAGGGCAGCCTGTGGTAAGGACCAGAGAGGCTCTGACTGCGCACTGTGGCAACACAGGGAAGGATGACCCGGTGTCTACTGAATAATGCAGTGCAGAAAACTCAGTCTACTGAAGACGACTGAGCAACTTAATCTGGCTCAGAGTGGCCTCTGTGGGTCCCTACCCAACAGGAAGGCTACCTATGGCTCCAGTTACAGGATACCCTGTACATATCTGAGGGGATACTGGTGACCAGGAAAAATAGATCCAAATCACAAAGGCCTGAGGTAAATATTACGACCCTAGGAGTTAGAGCAGGACCAGCCGGTTGAGCAGGTGGGAGGCTGGTCTGGGTGCACACCCGCAGCAGGCCACTACCTGTGCTTTCTTGCACTTCCAGTGGAGGGCCACGTGTGTTAGATGAATCCACTAAGGGTCCACTGACAGGGCAGAGCATCTGGGAGCAAAGGACCACAGCCTATAGACCTTTCTTTATGCCTCTAGAACAGGGATGTCAAATTCATTTTCACCAGGGGCCATATCAGCCTCGTGGTTGCCTTCAAAGGGCTGAACGTAACTTTAGGACTGTATAAGTGTAACTACTCCCTAACAGTTAAGCTAGAGCTCAGCGCTACCTCCAGGTAGAAACAAGGTGCCAGGCCGGATAAAACAAGGTGGAGGGCCGGATTCGGCCCACGGGCCTCATGTTTGCCATCTGTGCTCTAGAATATAGGCCTTCAGCCTTTCTTTCACAGCCATCATCACCTGCCCTATCTTTTCCATTCCACCACCCTGGAAGTGGCTGAAACAGGCTTAGTTAGGATACCAGTATCCTGGTGTAGGTCCTCAGGCCCTGAAGGTCTTGGGTAGTTGGCACACACAGAATTGGAGTGCCACGGCTGTTTTTGTGGGTCGCCTGGAGCATGGACAAGTTGAGCCAGCTTCAAGTTGCAGGGCTGAGTAGGAGCTTCTCTGTTACCTCACCTGCTGCCCTGAGCAGGGCTCCTTCTGTTCCCACACGTTTTGGGGAATAGCTCCAGCCTAGTATCATTCGTTCCTCACAGCAACCACCACCTACACCACCTGTCCAGCCGAGGCCTCAGGTCTGTACTACTTTCTCTCTTCCTAAAGGTGCCAGGACGTCTGCCTGCTGTTCTTTTTCTTCAAAGCTGCCATCGCTCACTCAGTCCCTCTCTCTCATCCTCATTCGGGATTAAGCCTGTCCCCAACCCTCTTTTCTGGCTATTCCTGATATGTGCACGTAGGCCCTTTACCTATTAAGGGAATTTATTGCCTATTCAGGGAGTTTCTCAGTACGAGAAGCAAGCCCCAGGCAAAGGGGAATGAGGATGAAGAGGACAACTGAGGGGTGGTTGAGACGTCCTGTGAGTATACTAACCATCTGTGGTCCACGTGGGCATGCCACTGAAGTCCCTTCCTCAATGCTCTTCCTGGCTGGTCCCAAAGAAGTCCTGAGTCTCATTCTCTCCACCCTTTAGCCTGATGGCAGAGCTCAGCCATCCATCCTCGCCATCCCTATCTGTTTAGAATATAGTGCTCAGGAACATTTTGCTGAACAAGAAGTTTCTACTACCCAGGAAGGGGATGCCCTTTCAACCCTCTCCCCTGCACCACCACTCTGCCCACCCCCAAGTCCCTACCTTCCTCCACTTGCCAACTTGACAGAGGTCTTCTTTGACAATGGGCTTCATATTAAGAAGTAGAGATAAGTAATCATTATTTCACCCAACAAGTGAAGGCCCTACATGCCATGCTAAATGTAAATACCCTTTAACTGGCATTGAGGAGCCACAAATTATTTTCAACCAGGGACTGGCAACAGAAAGCACCTTACATTATGCAAATATTTCTTACATGGGCACTCAAGAAATATTTACATAAATGTATACATAAGTGAATGAATGATCACAACTAACTTCTGGGAAGATGACAGCAAATGTATGAGAGGCCACACTAAGACACGGGCTTAAGCCACATGCTAAAGTGAGTGAAGCTAACCCCCACTTCCCACCTGTAGGGCTCTTCCCCACCTGACAGGGGCATCCTAGGCTGTGCTCTACCACTGCGAGTCTCACTGACTAGTCTCACATATTCAGGGTGGGGCAGAGCAAGTTATTATTGTATTATTTCCCATACGAACAAGGGCACACCTGTTTTCCCTCCACTTTGTATTTAGCTGATATACCAGGTTAAGGGAGACAAAAAAAGAAATCTCATGATAGAACCTCTCTCACAATAACAAGACTACAGGGGAAACAATCTAAAGTAAGAGCAACTGATCTGGTATCATCCACGAGATCCACTACTGGCAAAGTTCACCCTCACAACTACTAGACAAATGCCATCCCCACTTCACAAATGGTGATTTCAACAGGTCCAAACAAACAGACTAGATTCAGTGGTTTGGGGGTGTCCACCAACCTTCCTAAGTTCGGAGACTTTCTCCACTGGCCAATGAAGTGGCTGGGCCAGGACGGTATTCTAAGAAAAACCAACTCAGGGGAAACCCAGCAGCCTAGACAAGCGCTGGGGCAGACTCCAGGCACAACAAAGATGCAACAAGGACAATGAGCTACCATCACACCAACTGAGCACCAACATCTACAAACTATCCTACCCACTGCATTTTTTTTTTAAATTTTCTCCCTCTTCTAGCCTCATAAACTGTGAGCTCCTTAAGGGCAGAGACTGTGGGAAGTTTTGCCAGTGCTTTAAAGCCCTAAGCCATGTCTTTTTCCCATCAGGAGCCATCCTAATACATAAACTTCAGGTTCATCTTTCACAGGAGTACCGCCATCATTTCCTCCCTAGGAAATAACGCCTTCTAGATGAGGAACAGCAGGGTGAGCAGAGCTGCAAAGCTAAAGGAGGCAGGTGAGGTTATCATTCTGCTGTTTTGCCCAGTTCCTCTAGGACAGCCTGTAGAGCTCTGAGCACGATTAGAAGGGTGTGGGTGTTTGTTATTAAAAACTGAACAAATGGTCCACACCTTTCTTTATGGCATAGCACCTGCTTGTCACCTCACAGCTGGATTTGAAAGATGAGAAGACCTGTGATTTCCACTTTGAGATCAGAGTCCAATATGCAGCCAGGACTTGCTGATCACAGAGTAAGCAGGCGCTCTGCCTTCCCCAGGGATAGGAGGGAGAGAATCACATAACAAATCACCTCATTTTACAGATGAAGCCCTGAGGCCCGAAGAGTTCAAGGTCCCAGAACCAGCCAGTGGCAGGCCCAGGATCATATCACGGTCTCCTAATTCACATAATTCAGTGCAATTTCTACTGCAGTAGCTATGGCAAATTTTTCATTTTCCTCTTTGGAGAGGTAAAAAAAGGTAGAGAGCAGAATGTTAAGTTTTGGGATTCCCTGTAGCTTCAGTAACCTCTGCTGTCCTGGCCTCCATCACCCTGGCTGTGGCTGCCTTCTACTGGTTTCCCTTCTGTGGAAAGTTGGATCCTAAGCCAATTAGTTTTGAATTGGTTTGGCGTTCCTACCAGGGCTCGTGCAGTCACCTTGCACATGGCTTAGGATCTCTCGGTCTGTAAACAGGCGGAAGGCAATCTTCTCACACTCCCATTTGGCCCCACACTCAAATAAACATGCGAACAAGCCGTCCCCCACAGCAGCCAAATCAGAGTAGCCACAGGGCCCATGGTGCAAGATCCATGGTCGAGACCAGCAGGCAGCCTCCAAGGGGGTCTGGTTGAGGTAGATGCCGAGGTTAACCCTCCGTTTTGTACTGGTTGGGTGTGAGTACAAGAGCCATGATTCTGAAAGCATTCTAGCTTCCTGTTCTGGCCTCAGAGAACTGTCCAGCAGAGGGCTCTGAACAGTAGGGGCATCTTTGCCAGTAGGGTCCTGGCACCCACATGGGCTCTCCAGGGGCCGGAAACTCACCACACTGCCTTGGCAGCCATGCGGGGGCTCACAGAGCTGGTGGCTCAGGGCCGGCCTATGAAAGCATTCACCGTGGTCAGTGCTAAGAGCCTCTGCTCGGCACCTGTTTGGTGTCCGGGCACTGCAATACAGCACAGGGTGGCCAGCCTTCCCGGTCACCTCTGCCACTTCACACTCCACTGTCACCATGGGCTTAATGAACCTGCCATGGTGCCACGTGGCCCCTAGGTCATCACTGTAGATCATCAGGGAATGAGGCCTGGTTTTACATGGTAGCGGGAAACAAAAGAACCAGTAAGGGATGTAGTAGGCGTATGCAGGGATGATCAGCCTCCCCGACCGCAGCTGGATGCCATGGCCTGGGCCCACAGCAAACGTGGCCCAACGCTTCACTTCTGGGCCAATGACCTCCGCTGTCAGGTCCCTCACGTCGCTCCATGAATAGCCAGAATCACGACTGCAGATGAAGCAGAGGCGAGCAGCATTCCTGCCTGACACAATCTGCTGACGCTCAGTGACATGGCCCCGCACACAAATGAAGAACAGGTACACACAGCCACTCTTCTGCTCCCACACAGGACAGGGGTTCATGGTCCGATGCCCAGGCAATGTGGCTTCCATCAATGGCGTGAGTGGTCCCCACTACACAGGAGTAAGGGAGAGAGGGAGGAGTGAGAGACTAATAGGAAGACATAAGGCTCATTAAAAGCATTAGAACTTTTCAGAGAAAAAAAATAAATGGTACTGAAATCTGTAAAATTGTGAAGGCCCCAAGTATTCACTGAATTCTCATGCTGTCCCCCTCAATCTGAAACATTCTTCCTCACTTTTTCTAGATGCCCAATTCACCCCCAAAAATCCAACTCAAAGTCGCCTCCATTAGGAAGCCCTCCATGACACTCTCTCCCCTCCTCTACCAAAGGCTTCCTCTTTGTCCATACAGGGGGGTTATAGCAATTATCATATAACATTATACTTTTTATTGTGAGTAGCTCCTTCCCTAAACTATGAATCTTTTAAGGGCAGAAACCAAATTATTCTAATTTTGTATCTCCAGTGCTCAGTACATGAGAGGAGCTACATAGTATTTTTAAAAGGAAGGTCCCCTCCAAAAAAATAGGAAGGAAAGAAAGAAAAGGAATTAACATGGAGCAAAGCAGACAGACATGGGCATTTTAGGCATATAAAGGGAAATTTAAGGCAAAGATTTTTTTTATCTTTCCTTCCTCTACTACCCTGGGAAGGCAATGTATAGCACTGTCATTAAAAATTCAAGCATGGAATCAGAGATACCCAATTCAAACCCTGGTTTTATCACTTATTGTGTAACCTTGGACAAGTTATTTAATCTTCTGTTACTTCGGTTTCTTCCCCAGTGAAGTGGAGGATGTAATAACACGCTCAGAGAGGAGCTGTGGTGAGGGTAAACCGAGATAGCGCCTAACCAGACACATCACAAACAAAGAGAGGCCTAATCTTATTGGTATATTTTAAAAACAACATTGGCCTGGTATTTCAAGTCTCTTTTCCTCTCAAAGTATCTCTAAAAGAGGTAACTGAAAGGCTGAGCAGCTGAGCAATTCCTGACAGACATAGGGGCTGGGCGGACAAAACAAACAGAAGCCCTGGTAAACACTGCCGTGCTCGCAGCTGGAAGCTCAAAGGGCTGAATCCCAGGAGTAAGGGTGACACAGAGGTCGACCTGCCCTCACAACCACTGCTCTGGAAAGCTGGCTGGCATTATCGACAGCAGCGGGACATCCACGTATCCTAGAATCTGGTCATTCCATTCCTAGATAAAAACCCACCAAAAGTATATGCACTAGTACTGAAAACACAGAGGAGAATACTCAGCACAGCGTAATCGCTAACCCAAATACGCAACAACAGTAGAATGGGTCAATTAATTGTCACATAGTCATACAATAAACATTTTGTAACAATGAAAATGAACAAATCACAGCTGTACACCTAATTTGGGTAAACCTCAAGAATATAATATTGAACAAAGGAAGCCAAACATAAAGGATACAGAGTACTTGACTATCGAACTGCTATGCTGTATGCCTGAAATACAAAATAATATTGACTGTAAACTGTAATTAAAAATAAAATAAAAAAATATAGAGATTAAAAACAAACAAAACTAAATTCAAGGGCTAAAAATGAGAATAGTAATTACCTCTGGGAAAGAGAGGGGAGATATATGAGAAGCTTCTAAGTTGCTGGCAATGTTCTATTTTTGAGTTGAGTGGTGAATTCATAAGTGTTGGCTCTGTCAATTCAGAATTGACATTTATGTTTGGTGCATTTGACATTTATGTTCTGTCTTATGTTTTCTGTACATGTGTTACCGCTTCACATTAAAATGTTTTAAAGGGACTACCAAGGACACATGCTTGTGTCTCTTTGTTTCGGTGTGAAACAGCACTGGAAGGACACACAAGGAACCACCGGCTGCGAGAGGAGGTACAAGACTGGGAATGGGGTGCACACCTTTTTACACTGTTTTTATTTCTCAGCCATGTAAATGTGTTAACTAGACAAAGCAAAAAAAAGTTTTAGAATTTTAATTCCTATATGAATGGGCAAAAACTACTGTTAAGCAACACTCAGATCATAGATTCTCCAAATCATAAGGACTTAGTGCTAGCTCCCACCTTACAGAAGATTCTAAGTTTTCCACTTGAAGATCAGTCTGTCCTCGAACTAGTCTAAGGACAGGGACCTCACTATCTCTAGAGCAGCTGATTCTATAGTAGAGTGCCTTGTGCACTATAAACACTTCAAACATATGTGCCAGAGTCAACATAATTATTGCATAGAAGCCCGCCTTTCCCCACGAAGCTCTCCTAGATTGCTAACTAACTGAAGGCTGTTTCCTAAATCCTCCCAAATGGCACTGTTACTCTCTGGAAACTGTCATTGCATAAGAAGTGCACTTCGCTGTCTGACTGCATTTTAAACACCTGGAGGCGGGACCTAAGTTCTCTGTGACTCTCAGGTAATCAAGGTCCAGAAGGCCAGCAGTGGGCGGGGTGGCCAGACCTGCCACTAGGCCTACCTTGAGGAGAGGAAAAGCACCCACAGAGCAGACTCCATAGCCTCATAGATACCATTAGAGAGAGGAGATAGAGCACTGTGGATGTCAGAGAAGGAAAAGACCATTTCTGGATGTGGAAAATCCAGGGAGAAATCTTTGATTCCGCTCACCTTCAACCCACTCACTTCAAGAATCAGCTTAAATGGTGTGGCCCACACAGTAGCTTCTCTGATCCTCGAATGCATTTGAACTCCTTCTTCTAAGGAAATAGCCCACTCTGAGGGGATGAACCTGCCTTGTGACACTCCGTGGATTCTGCATGGGAGATTCGGACAGTTACCTCTGTGCACAGCTCTACTTTCTCTCTCTGATTCTGCTGTGCAATTTTTTTGCAAAGAGAGGCAGAATCTGCCAACTTTTTTATTGCCTCCCTCCACACATCCCCCTTGACTTAATGCCTGATACATAGTAGGTACTCAATAAATGTCTGTTGAAGGAAAGAGAAAGGAAGAAGGGAGACAAGAATGGAAGAGAGAGGGAAGAAGAAAGAAGGGAAAGAGGGAGGCAAGAGTGAAAGGGAAGAGTAAACAGAAGGATTACAGAAATGCTCTCAGGTAGAAACAATATTCTATAAACAATGTCCAGAGGCTCCTCTCCCTCACAAGTGCCAAGAAGAGGCCTAGAGAGCAGATTTAATTTCCTACTGTCACTCGGGGGATAGAGCCCTTGTCTCCTCAGCACCCTGTGTGGAAACCAACACTTTATGGGTAGCACTGAATGGGTGAGCGTTTCCAATGAGAAGTAACTGGTCTGCTGCAAACTCATTTGGATGATTACAACTGCTCAGTTCAGGAACCTTGAGCAGGATCCAGTAAGACATACGAAATCCATCAGCACTGCTACTGCCTTTAGGAATAGGAGTGGGGGCAATTACTGGGCAGGTTAGTCAGGGAAATCAAGCTCAGCCATCCTTAGTAACTGAAAGAAGACAATGACTTGGACCTGCTATGTCTAAAATAAAGTTTACATGAAGCTATAAGAAATAGTAAACTAAAGATGAAAGCATTAGAATCCAAATAATCTCAACCAGTTGCAGCAATGCAACATAAACAAGCTGAGGCTTGACAGAGATAAAACAAGTCTTGGGCTTAAAAATCAGGATGGAGAAACATGATTAAAGAACAACAAATGCAGCTCTGGCTACTGTAGCTCAGTTGGTTGGGTACTGCCCTGAAAACCAAAAGGTTGCTGGTTCAATTCCTGGTCAGGGCACATGCCTGAGTTGCGGGTTCAGTCCCCAGTTGGGACGCAGGAAAGAGGCAACTGATCGATGTTTCTCCCTCACATCAATGTGTCTCTCCCTTTCTTTCTCCATTCCTTCCCCTCTCTCTAGAACCGATAAATGGTGGAAGGAAAAAAGAATAACAAATGCAATAGCCAACAAATGTATAAAAAATACTCAGTGCTGTTAATAATGAGGGAAGTTTTTGATATCACCTCTTATCCATTAGGATGACCACTGTCAGAAAACATGGAAGAAGTGTTGGCAAGGGCACAGAGAAACTGAAACACTTGTTTGATGGGATAATAAACAAGTGGGTACACTCTGACGGGTATATTTGCTGTGGAAAATACTATGGAGGCTTCTCAAGAAATTAAAAACAGAATCACCTCATGCCCAGCAATTCCACGTCTAGGTATATAGCCAAAAAACTGAAAGCATTGTCTCAAAGAGACAGTGAGACATTTTCACACCACATTCACAGAGCATTAGTCACAAGAGCCAAAAGGTACAGCCCAAGTCTCCATCAACAGAAGAACGGAAAAACCAGTATGTGAATAAACACACAGTGGAATATTATTCACCCTTTAAAAAGAAGAAAATCCTGCCATATCCTACAACATGAACCTCAAGGATATTATTGTAAATCGGCAATTTTCAACCTTTTTCATCTCATGGCACACACAAGCTAATTACTAAAGTTCTGCGGCATATCACAAAATGTATTTTTTGCCGATCTAACAAAATAGGTATAATTCTGATTCACTCACACTAGACAATTATTGTTGTGTTGGTTATTGTCATTTTTTTTTATTTGACAATCTAAGGGAAAAGAGGCCAGTGCCCCTGAACAAACAGTCGGGTACTGCATGTTTTAAAAAGTCTTGTGTCACACCGTTGAAAATTGCTGTTCTAGAAGAAATAAGCAGATCACAAAAAGACAAACACTGCATGATTCTACTGAGATACGGTAAAGTAATCAATCTCATAGAAACAAAGTGGAACAGTGGTTTCTACAGATCAAGGAAGGGGGAAATGAGCCGTTCAATGTGTATAGAACCGCAGTCATGCACAATGACAAAGTTCTAAAAAGATCTGTTGTACAACAATGTGTATACAGTTAACAATACCATAATGTGCACTCGAAATAATTAGGATGGAAAATTTCATTAGATGTATTTTACCAGTGGTAAAATACAACAAATGTGAAAAAGACTTGGAGCTTTTAGCTGACTATCGACTTAATATTAGTCAATGGTATTATGCAAGATCAAACAAGTAAATGCTACTTTCCCTTGGGAAGCGTGAAAAGGATACAAGGTAGGAGAGCCGCCTCACTGCTGGGGTGGCTCTATCCTTGCGGTTCAAGTTCAATTTTGAGCACCATTCTTTGAAAAAGGACACTAACATCCCATACCAGATCCCAAGGAGGATTACTCCAGTTTTCAAGGGCCTGGAAACCTAATCCAGACTATGGCCAAGAAAGAAAGACACTAAAAGAACTACAGTTGTTGAGTCCCCAGAAACAGAGGACTCAGAGGGCATGAACACCACTCGCAGGTACGTGGAAGAGATGTCTCAGCAGAAGGGATTTTATACATATAGACTCACTACCCCAGAAGGCAGAACAAACCAACAGGTAATTATAGAGTACAGATCATCTCATCCCTCCAAAAAAGGTTAACAGGTGCCACAGGATTTGAGGAGCTGTGTAAGCAGACCCTTTATAGAAGATGACTAAAGTTGAGCTCCTACTATGTATTATAATTGCTATTATTACATTTGCAGATGATGAAACAGAACAGAGGCAAGTGTCCAAGGTCACACAGCCAATAAACAGTTAGGTCTTCCCTGACTTCAAAGCCAGGCTCTTAACCACTGAGCTATTAGGAGCTACCAATGGAGTACAGAAGAATTCTATGCTGGCAAAGAAGTTGGACTAATGATTCTACTAATTTCAAGATTCTATAATTGAGTAAATCAGAGATAAAAGCAAATAAAGCACGAGGTAGGAAGAAGAGCAGCAGCAGGAAGAAGACTGTTGTTATCCCACAACCCCAACCCCTCATCTGCTGGCTGTGGCCTTGAACAAGCTACCTCCCAGAGCACCAAGATCCCTCATCAGCAACCCTGGGCTAACCTGTTTACTTTCCCGGATGACTTATGAAGATAAGAGAATGTAAATGAAAAGGACACATGAATCACGGAGGCTTCTGGAATCAGAGACCAAGTCTGAAGCCTGCTTCTACTTTATCATAGCTCTGTGACCTTGAGCAAGTGGCAAGCTCTCTGAGCCTCAGCTTTCTCATCTGTAAAATGTGACTGACAATTCCTATGTGTCAGAGAGGCAAGATCTGTATGCCCCTGGCACACGGTAAGTACTCAGTAAGTGAGAGGAACCGCTGTTACTGTTTCTCCCCCTCAACTCCCACATAGGGCTCTTCCTGCACTGATGGGAAAAGGCACAGATTCTAAGTGCTCTGAGCAAATGTAGAGAGAAACTGAGGCCCAGGCCCAGATCTGGGGTAAGGAGTCACCTGTACCAAGTGCCCCGTCCTCAACCCTCGCCTCAGCACCAGGTGGAGAGCATCCTCATCCCTGCTTGTAGAGCGCTTCTCTGCAAAGGCCAGGAAGGTGTGGGTGGGGGGTACGTAGAGCAGGGCTGGGATCCGGTAGGTGATCCCTCTCTTCTCTTCCTGCTGGAACAGAGGGGTGTTGAAGAAGCAGGACGTCACCTCTTCCATGACCTCTGCAAGGATAGGAGGCAGCTAAATGTGTATCCATATCCAAACGCTGGCCTGTATACAAGTTCTGTTCTATTACTGCATTTCTGGAGATCACCGAGAGGCAGAGATGTACTCAAATGTTTACCTTTTTTTAATAGGAAAATAACACCATGGTGTCAACAGCACAAAGCCAGCAACATGCATTTTTATTTAACAAATCTATCCTCCAGGCTGTGTGAATCCTATGCAGCCTGTGTCAAGCGGGTTTCTCCAGAGGTTCTGCATATGCTTCTGCCAATCATCCAGAGGTACTGCTAGCCCAGAAACCTTCTAATGTCAATTTTGTCACTTGGAGGCCATTCAAGTGACACAAATATAAACCCAAATCCATACAAGGGAATACCTGTGTTTAAGAACTCTCTGAGGAAACTTTTCCCCTCTACTCAAGCCTAGGATAAAAGGCAATCTTCTTTGTCATCTCTGTGTCTGTAGCAAGACTTTTTTTCCTAGGCCACCCCACCAGAAGGTGCAGGGATCTCAGTTCCAACCAGAGCCTCTGACCCATGCAAGCCCATAGTTTCATGCACTATAACAGCAGGTCTATTAAAGCCCAAGCTTCTAGGTAAGTAAGACCAGCAAACATCCAGGGCAGCTGAGGTCAGGTTAAGGGGCTAACTATTACTTCTCTGGTTTTCAGGTTACTCTTGGTTTTTAGGCCCCTAGGGAATTCTCTTACTTTCTTGCGAATTCAGCTTACAGGGCTTTGTTATATTTTATATATCATTTTATAGGTTAGATAGCCAGCCATAATCCTGAAAATGGAAGTCTCTATGAACATTTCTCAAAGGAAATCAGGTGTTCTACTTCCTGGAGGCCCAAAAGGAAACAGAGCTAGCCAGCCAGAACCAGGCTTAAAATTCCTTTTTTTTTTTTTAAATCTGTCCACCTGTCATCCAAACCCTGTCTTACAAATCATTTGTAAAAATTATCAGGCTGTAAGAACAAGGCCCATAAGATCACAATCATTTATTTAATCAATATTTCTGGGTGCCTTCCAAGTCAGACCATAAGGCAGGTGCTCAGGAGACAGAAATCAGAAGCCCCTGCCCTCATGAAACCCACATCCTAGGGGGGCAACAGACACAGACACAGACAATTACAACACAGGCAATAAGTGCAACTTGAGAGGTAAACCATGAGAGCATGCGGGGAAACAGAAAAGGGCAGCTGTCCAGCTGAAGGCAGCAGAGGATTTGGGAGAGGAGACAAACAAGCCAAGGGCGCTCCTGTCTTACCTTTCCTGATTCTCTGGGTCTGGAATATCCTTTCAGGCAGCCACAGACCTCACTTCCTCACCTCCTTCTACTCTGTTCAAACATCATCCAATCGGCGAGGCCTTCTCTGATGATGCCCCTGAGCTCCTGGTCCCCTTTCCCTGCTCCCTTCTCCAGGCCATTTACCCATACGTTATACTTGTTAAATATATACTACAAAACAGACATCCCATAAAGGGCAGGCATATGTCTGTGCTATTCTGTTACACCTCTACACCTAGAACCATGCTTGGTAATTGATAGGCATTTGACTAATACTGGATGAATGGGTGAGCTGGATCTTAAAGGATGAGCAGTGGGTAAGCCAATGAAGAGTAAAAAACATAAGGAGAGAGTGGATGTGAAAAGCCTGTAGGTGACAGAAAATACAATGAGCTGTGGGGATCCTCAGTAGTCCAGTATGACTATCCTGGACAGAAGCTGTGAGCACACATGGGCCTGAAAGGGGTCAGCAGAGTCCAGATCCTGGGAGGCTTTGATACCTTATTAAGGTGTTTATCCCACAGACAGGGAGCCACTGGCAGAGGAATGGCATGACCAAGGATGCATTTTAGACCAGTCTCTCGGGTAGCCTTGTGGGCGATAAACTGAAGGGGAAAGTTACACTGCCTGTGGCTGCATCCTCCCCATGTCAATCAAGACCAACTTTCATCAAGGGCATATGGCTACCATTCAGTCGATATTTCTAACTTAGAGAGAACCATGGCTCACTATCATGACGGGTGTTGGGGAGGTGGTCTCCTGAGTCCAGAAGAAAAGCCTCCCCTCACTCCCATCCTGGGTTCTCCATAGCAGAACTAAAAGGCAGGGGTGAACTGCCTTCACTGCACAAATGCAGAGCATCGCTCTCTCCCCAATTCAGACTCTCCTGCCCGGGAGGATCAGACTTTCTTTTAAGTAAAAATCAGTCCCTGAGTCCAACTGGTATAAAGGTTAGGAACACAGGATTTGACCCAGGCCAGGACGACATGACTCTAGGCATGTTATTTAACTTCTCTGTGCTTCAGGATCCTCATATGTAAGAGTCAATAGAGTGGCTGAGAGAATTAAGTGAAAAAGTTGAAGTGACTGTTACAGGGCCCATCCCATACTCTGAGTTCAATATATGACAGTTATTGTTAGACTGTCAATCCCTGCATATTCTAGTTGTATTCCTTGAAATCTGTGGAGGAGGAGGATGATTGTAACAACAATCATAATTACAACTTCCCTTCTTAAAAGCATTTAAATCCCTCTGCACCTCTGGGAGAAATTATATTTTAAACTCTTAAAAGCTAACACTTCGATTATGAGCTAATAATACCAATGCTATTAATCATTAGCCAACAAATGATTATTAGTTGACATTGAAATAAGACGAATAAAGCATAGGATAAGCATAAGTGGGAAGAAAGGACAAGGAACAAGGAAAGGGAGAGGAAGTGGAAAAAGCACCAAAGAACAACTTGTCACATGGGACCAGACTGGTGCCCCAGCTCTTGTTACTTTATTGTGTGACTTTGTGCTAGTCACTTGATCTCTCTAGGTCTTGGATTCCTTGCCGGTAAAGTGTGGATAACACTAATACCTACCTAAGATGAGCAGTACAAAGAACCACTGTAAAGTGCTTCACAAGCTTTAAAGCACCATAAATAAAACTCTTTATTATAAATTTTGATGTCTTCACTACAAATTTTGATATCTTCCCAATTTCACTCATGGCTTTGCTATCATTGCAACAATTTCAGTCATCATCATTAGTTTTCATCATGATCATGCTGATCATGTTGATGACAGTGTTAACACAGATGGTGACTCTGGCACTGACACCCAAACTGTTTCACACAAACCATATGCTAAGAACTAGGGATAGAGAAGAATCTGATACAGCTCTGCTTTAGAGTTGTTCATTTTAGCAGAGAACTCATATTACTGATTGCTGCTTCATATAATCACCTTTCAGTGAAGTCCTCCCTGTTCTCTTACTAGGAGAGCGGACAAATGTATGACAGCATGGACTTTGAAGTGTGACTTGACTTTTATACTTACTAGCAAATTGCTTTATTTCTGAGCCCATTTCCTCACTTATAATGGAGATAATACTACCTATTTCTCAGGCTATAAGAACAATGTAATTCCGTAGATTCCCAGTGAACCCCAGAAGGAGACCTCCCAATCTCATTTATCCACTCCTAAACAACTAATGTTTAATGAGCACCCATCAGATGTCAGGCTTTTGGGATCTTGTAGACCAAGCCCTTCTCATGGTTACCACCCATGGCAAAACTGAGGCTCATGGAGATGAAAAAACTTATGTGAGGCCGTTTAGTGAGTCAGTGGCAAGAGCTGGATCAAGACCAAAGTCTCCTTTCAAGTTCTAGCTCAGGGGGTCTCTGCGGCCCACACACCTCTCTCTAGTAAGAAAGGTTTTCCAATCTCTGTTCTCTTTCATCTCTAAAATGGTAATTACCAGCTTTAAGTTTGGCTTCTGAGGAAGGAAAACAAAAATAGAACTAGCCAAAAATACTCTTCTGGCTACGTCCGAGATGCTAACCGACTGGGGTGGTTCTGACTCAGTGTCTCTCAAAACTGTTATTTCGTAAGCCCAGATGATGCTGCCGAACTCGTCCCCACAGTCACACTGCCCCACTTTTGGGGGACAGACCCGCTCACCTGCGCAGGAAGGACCCCGGTTCCTCCGTCTCTCTCCAGGCAGAGCTGGGCGCGCAGGCAGGCTCTCAGCTCTTGGACAGCAACGCCTGGGAGAACGACCAAGGCCGGGGAGACCGAAGCAGGAGAAAGAGACTACAAACACGAAAGCCAACCACCAAAAGCGAAGAAAGCGGGAGACTCTCACTGAGAGGCAGTGAGGCAGACAGAACCAGAACGCCGAGACCAGCCTGAGAGGAAGCAGGGGCCAGGACACGCGGAAGCCACAGCCCACAGGCCGTTGGGACCGACTGTTGGCTGAGGCTCGGAGCTGGCCCCTCCCCTTGCGTACCGGCGCAGCAGAGGCCCCGCCCCTTCGCTGCCCAGGCCCCTAGGCGCAAAGTACCTACCCCTTCATCTCTGACCACCATCCCTTCCACCCGCCCAATTTCAGTTCAGAGCCTAGGCCTACCACAGCTCCCCAGGGAGGCGCAGACCCCTGGCTCCGCCCCCCACCCTTCCATTTTCTCTCCCTCCATCCTCCCCTCAGCCCAGTATTTCCACGCTGTATTCGTTGCCAGTCTGTAGGTAGGTTTGACCGCTTAAAACTTCCCTGGACAGCGTGAGTCAAGCGAAGGTTCCGGACCTCAGAAGGAACTGCACGAAAAGGTTCAGAGAGCCAGATAATTGGTCCACCCCTACTCAAAAATAAATAAATAAATAAATAAATATTGTAATAATGTTATATATGTGTGTGTGCATGTATATATATTGCATAAAAATACTATTAGGTTATAACTCACTGAATAAAATAAAACCTATGAGTCCAGATTTATATGAATTGAATAAAGTAGTAAATGGGGAAAAGGACAGCTCTTCCTGTAGAATTCCAATTCATAAGTGTAGACTTACATGCATACTGTTTGAATACAGTATGGTTTACGCTGAACCTGTTTTCCTTCTGGGAGTCTGGAAATTTGTTACATACTAGGCAGAGGGTGCCTGCATGACTGGCCCCCAATAAAAACTGTGGGTGCTGAGTTCTAAAGGGTTCACTAGGCAGAAACATGGTACACCTGCTGCATTTTCACTGCCGGGGGCAAGTGTGCTTAGTGTGTTCCCTCATGAGAGTGAGAGAACATAAGGAAGCCTGCACACGGACGTCTCCATGCTACACCTGTGTCTTTTCCTTTTAGTGTGTCTTCTTCACTACATTGCTATGATAAACCTTCACTCTGAGTATGGCTATATGCTGAGTCCTCTGGCACCTTCCAGAGAATCTCTAAACCCAGGGGTGGTCTTGGAGACCCTCAACCACCTACCATATAGAAAGTCTTAAAACATGTAAAATAATACCATAGGTTGTCAATGGACACACATGTATGAAGAAAATGTATAAGAATAATAACTACCAAATTCAGGGTAGTAGTTCTGGGAGTGCAGGAAGTAGAATATCATTAAGGATAACCAAGGGCCTTGGACTGTATTGGTAATTTTTTTAAAGGTGGCAGTAGGTTCATAGGTGTTCATTTATTAATTTTAATGTTTATTATGTCTCAAATATTTCACTTTTTAAAATGAGCCTATACAAAGTCCTAGGGTTCTTCACCAAACTTCTCCAAACTCACAATCATCAACTCTGTGGATCACCGAATTAATTTTAGAAAAATATCTAAAGTTAATAACAACTCTCAATTCTTCTTTGACTGATGATCCCCAGTCTTTTTATACCTGAGGCAATGAGGTTTAATAGCAATCTCTATATTTGGAAGTGAAGAGACATTGGCTCCAATCCTGACTGCCTACTTCCTAGCTGAGGGCCCTTGGCAAGTTGTTTGATTTCTGTGCCTAAGATTTCCTCATTTGACACATGGGCACACTTGACCCTACTCGTGATGTACTTCGTGACTCGAATCAAACACATTTCACTTCCTATATGAGGACCTCCCAGTTCTCCATGCTAAAATAGTTACTCTTATTCTGGCCTCCACTGCACTTTGCAGATGGCTTCTTATGAATTTTCTGAGTATGTCATTCTGATTAATCTGTCAGAATGGGGATCAAATCCATTCTAATGGTCTCATACAGCATTTAATTAAGGATACTGTCAACAGAACACAAAGAAACAGGATGAGACCAATCTGCAGAAATGACCTCAGTCATACCCAAGGAAGGGCCTAGACGAAACCAGCTGGAAAAACAAACAACCACACACAAAACAAACAAGCAATCAAACAACCACCACAAGTCATCAAGGTCTGCCTTACAAAGCCACATGGTATACCTGCCTTGGGGTACAGCAGGATGGATGCATTGGCTATTACAGACTCTATCTTGGCCCAAAAGGAAGTTGAGAATTCTATCATCCATAACCATACTGGCCAGTGAGGCTCACCTGAATGCATTCCAGCACTAAGGTGGTATCATTGATGGCTTCTGCTAAAGTCAAGAACAAATTCCACATCAATGTTTCTAAAAGAATTACCCTTAAGATAGGGATAAACTCCCACAGAGTGTGCATAAATGAGTCAGTCACCCCTCCAGGAAGCTGCCCTGTGGAACCATCTCCACAGTCATCCGATGGCTACACAATCTGCTGGTGACGCTTCCTTAAGCACCTGAAAGTGGCTGAAGACCATCCCTATGGTACAAGACATGTTTGCAGGGAGGAAGGCAAGTTCATGCCTGGCTTCCACACAGGGATTGCCTGTGTCTACCCTGGGGACATATATGATGGGGGACCCCCCAAAAACTTGGTATTATCTTTTGGAGGGGGAGGAGGACTGGCAGTACAGGCTTTCCCCGCTAGGTGAGTGTTGTAGGAACCCATCTGTATCAGTGTACCATTTGGTGTTGTGAGAGGTTGCATTTCACTTCAGTGAATTTTTTTTCTAAGACTCTTTTAACACATTTGCCCATTTCATGATGAGTGATTTACGAGTGCACCTGCCTACACCATGCTGAGTGTCCAGCAGTTTGACCAAAAAATGACATGACTCTCGTACCCCACCCTCCCTATTCATCCGATCTTGCCTTGAGTCACTTTTTTGTTTCCCTGGATGAAAAGTGACCTCAAAGAGAAACATTTTGCTAATGTGGGAGAGGTGAAACAAAAAGTGACAGAGGCACTAAAAGGCATCAAAATCAACAAGCTCAACAACTATTTTGAACAGTGGAAAAAACTTCTCAATAGGTGTATTGCATCAATACAGTACATGGAGAGTACTTTAAAGGTGACTGAAATTTAAACATGTAAGAATACACAATTTTCTAAAAGTAAATTTCAGTTTTGGGTGGTCCCCCCTCATATGATGCTCATTTACAATTGTTGGAGCCCCCAAATGGGACCTACATCATTTAGGAGATACAGGTTGAGGGTGTCCCTAATGTTGTCTCATGGCCCCAGAGCTCCCGGTGCAGACAGAATAACTGAACCCAGTCTTTATTTTGGAAGACTGCCTGATAGCAATCAGTCTGACCCATTCCATACATTCACACTGCCAGCCAGGTGGCACGTGGCTACCCCATAGGATGACTGAATAATAACTACAAGAATGGGGGATGAGAGGTTCTGGAAGTTGTGACATGTTTTGCATGAGATATATAGGAGTTGAAGTGCTGATTTTTCAAGACTTCTCAGTAGAATGAAGGAAATGGCTCTCAAATTGCACTCAGCATTATCTGGTGGGAGGTGGCAAAACCAGCAATTAGTCAAGTTTAAGGAGCTTGCAACAGTTTGGGAGAGGAGTACTGGGCCACTTTCCTCTGAGAGGAAGGCTCCAGGGGTGACTCTTTTTCCAAGTGTATCTAGGACCATGTCAAACCAACAAGACAATCCAAGTGGCTGAATCAGAATTAAATGTGAACACTTAAGGCCCCCTTTTGTCCGAGGTGCCACCTGGAGGCTGTGGCAACCAGGCTGTCCTGGGGGTGCTATCAGGGCAAAGAAAACACCATCCCCAGCAATAGTCACAGCAACAGAGTACTGGATTTAAAAATAAATTTATACAAAACTCTCCAATCCCTCATTCTGATCATTACTCAGTAAGCAACTATAATTAAGTTTTATGTCTTCACTGGAACACAGGATCCCCAGATATTTGGTTAAGCATTATTCTGGATATGTTTGAGGGTGTCTCTGAATGTGATTACTATTTGAATTGGTGCTCTCAGTAAAGCGAACTGCCCTCTGTAATGTTGGTGGGCTTCATCCAACCTGTTAGAGGGCACAACAGAACAGAAGGCAGGGAAAGGGTGAGCTCTCTCTGCCTATTTACAAGTCAGAACATCAGTCTTCTGCTTCTGGACTAGAACTTACACCACCAGTTCTCCTGGTTTTCAGGCTGTCGGTCTCAGACTGGAGCTATACCATCGGGTCTCCTAGTTCTCCAGCTTATAGACAGCAGATTATGTGACTTCTCAGTCTCCATATTCATAGGCTCATTTCTTATAATACATCTCTTTATGTATACACACACATATCCTATTTGTTCTGTTTCTTTGGAGACCCTAACAGAAGTCAAGAGGAAGTGACCGCTCTCTGGGGAAAGCCACATTTAGTGACCAACAGACTTTACTGAAGTGTCTTGACTCGGATGAGTTTAGAGAGGTAGGGTCAGAAACCTTTTGAGCATATTTTTTGAATAAGCTGTTCTAACAGTCACCAATACTAGATGCCTGTGGACAGAAGAGTGGCAGGCCCATCAAATACCTTGACTATCAGCCCACCGCTAAGTGGCTTTTGTAATTAAGATTGTACTACTGTCAGACTGTGTGTGGTCAAAAACAAAAACAAAAACAAAAACATGAGACAGATTAGTTTGAAGACCAGAGTAGTTGGTCGGAGTTGACTGAACCAGAAAAACACCAACCTGAAATGAGGTCAACAGTGGTGAGGTACCACTGAGGGAGCCAAAGGTCTGACAGTCAGTCAGCTGACAGTGGGCAGCCAGGCCCTGTGCTACATGGCCTCACTCAAGGCTAGACCAATAGGACTTTTGAAAGCAGTCAGTCTGGCATGAAGCAGCAGCCTCTGAATCAGAACCAGAAGTGCTTTCCTTTGTGCCCACGCTACTACAGTGGTGGGTGTAAGGCAGCATCTGGTCTGACGATGGACCCAGGCAGCAATGGTGGCGATCTGAGCGGTACAGGCTCCAGCAGCCCCAGCTTGATTTCTGTCAGTCTCATCCAACAATGGCCGCCGCTGTGGGCATCTACAGGAGTGACCCAGACAGTTCAATTAATAGCTATAATTCATTTCTAGTTTGTAGCCCCAAAGAAGTGTCTTTATTTTG